TAGGTTATAATTCCACTGTGAAGTATGTCACGCGCGTCAATCTTACTCCTATTACCTAACTAATAATCATGACACTTGTTGCTAGGGGAGAATTTCTATCCGTGACAATTATTTCATCTCCATTGCATTGTATGTGCAAAGTATCGTCCGTTATTGGAGCATGCAATTCGCCAGAGCCGTTATTCTATTATTTATATCAACTGAGTTTCAAGAGCCTCATTTAAAGTCCACGCCTAACAGCTTCCGGTTCCCGTACGTAATTTCGTGCACACACAGCAGCAGAGCACGTAATTTCGTGCACACCCAGTGGCAGAGAACGCAATTTCGTGCACACCCAGTGGCAGATCACGCAATTTCGTGCACACCCAGTGGCCGAGAACGTAATTTCCTGCACACCCAGTGGCAGATCACGTAACTTCGTGCACACCCATTGGCAGGTCACGCAATTTCGTGCACACCCAGCAGGAAAGTATGCAATTTCGTGCAAACCCAGTGGCAGAGCACGCAATTTCGTGCACACCCAGTGGCCGAGAACGTAATTTCATGCACACCTAGTAGCAGAGCACGCAATTTCGTGCACACCCAGAGGCAGAGCACGTAATTTCGTGCACACCCAGCTGCAGACCACGTAATTTCGTGCACACCCAGCAGGAAAGTACGTAATTTCGTGCATGAGCAGCCCCAGCGTTAGTGTACGGATTCGGAAGCGGGCGCACAGGATGTATGAATGTTAGCGGAACTCCAGCTCGCTGCGCCGGGCGGGGCTGCTTTACTACAGGGTGCGGCGTGGGAACTTACTCTTTTAAAAAAATCACAAAGTAAAAAGTATTAAAGATAGCGTTTTAATTCTTTCTTTTTTACAAAGTTAGGACTAATGGCCGCCACGTGGCGCGCAATTCAAATAAGTAAGTTCCCGCGCCGCACCCTGTATATACCTCGCAATACGCGCTCCAGCCAACGAAAAACTCCGAGATCTTGCGGCAATAGATTCTCATTGCGACTCTTTGGAAATTTTAATGTGGAAAAACTTTCGTATTGTTCGGCTAGAGATTCTCATTGTGACTTTGAAAATTTTAATGTGCAAAAACTTCCGTTGTATTCAACTTTATATTCTCATTGTGACACTTTCGTATTGTTCGACTTGAGATTCTCATTGTGACTCTTTGGAAATTTTAATGTAAAAACACTTTCGTATCATTCGACTTGAGATTCTCATTGTGACTTTTAGGAAATTTTAATGTGAAAACACTTTTATATCATTCGGCTCGAGATTCTTATATCGTATCGTATCGTATCGAAATATCGTATGACTCTTTGGAAATGTTAATGAGAAAACACTTTGGCATTATTCGACCTGATATTCTCATTGTGACACTTTCATATTATTTGGCTCGAAATTCTCATTGTGACTCTTTGGAAATGTTAATGTGAAAACGCTGTCGTATTAATCTGCTCGAGATTCTCATTGTGACTTTTTGGAAATTTTAATGTGAAAAACTTTCGTATTGTTTCACTTGAGATTCTCATTGTGACTCTTTCTAAATTTTAATGTGAAAAACTTTCGTATTGTTTCACTTGAGATTCTCATTGTGACTCTTTGGTAATATTGATTTGAAAATTCTCTGTACATAGTAAGGTGATTGATATATAAAAATTTACATGCTCTGCACGGTGGTATCACCATCAGTAAACAAGACAACTTTCCATGTCGCCCTTACGTGGGAGCGAAAAGATTTATTTTTGTGCGCAACGCTGCTTTTTTGACATTCTTTAGAAATTTTTATAGAAAAGTTTTTTGGAATTATTCGCGTCGTGTTTCCCTCCGCAACTGTAACTCCAAGGGGAAATAAAAAAAGCGAAAAGAATTAATTTAGTTGATATTCATTTATTTTTTCTTCAATTTATGTTTTTCTCTATAATATCAGGAATATTCAACAATGCAACAGCCAAAAGAAGAAAGCAGTTGTTTCAACAGAGAGCCTTCCGTGTCAGTAGCTGTTAAGAGGGTAGTTACTGGTCGGGTGTCTGTACGCGATTCGATAACGATGAATAATTCATAATATAGAGCGTGCAATCCTAGCATGTGCTCCGGCAGTCTGTGATATTTGTTGGTACTTGGTAACACGTGACTTATTGATACCTGGTAATCACACATCCAGTGGCCACAAAAGCCTGCACAAATTGCCAATAGTAATGAGCGCACACTGATTTGAGATAATTATTATTAATCCACATACATGCGATTTCTCGTCTGTTTAATTTAATCCAATACATCTGCCAGAATTCTGTCGTGGCTCTAAAGGCAGCGAATATCCTGTAAAATGAAAATTTTTGTGCAAAAATTTCTACAGATTTTAAGAGTTTTAGATTGGGGAAACATTGAGGTTTACCCTAGATGCTGTGATAGATGATAAACCTAAATTAAATAATTGCCTATACCTGCTTAACAATAAGATCGTTAATAGAAAATATATTTATTTAGAATACAGATATTTACGCAACAATTAATTAAAACCTCGTCGACTTTATCGGAGCAAGGCAGAGAAAAAAAATTTAGCCGAAATAATAAATAATTTAATTAATTATGCATTTTCCGGGTTACTTTATTCATGAATACAACGGCTAACATCGGTCGTCTCGTTAAGAGCATAACTCACACTGGAACAAGATATATTAACTAGAATCTAAACCGTGACATTAATTGTCTTCATAGGCGATATAGCATTGAGTCCACGCACACATTTGATCACATCTCGACAGCACGCACGAAACGATTAGTGTCATCACGCAGCACGAAATGATTGGAATTATCACGCAGCACGAAATGATTGGAATTATCATGCAGCGTCGGGGGGAAAGTGCGTGGAGAGATTCGTGACTCGCCCCTGCGTGACGCTGGCGACACACTCAGCGACTCGAGCTGAAAGTTTTAATTGCAGCGTACGCTGGATGAGCTGGTGTACGCTGGATGAGCTGGCATACGCTGGATGAGCTGGCGTACGCTGGATGAGCTGGCGTACGCTGGATGAGCTGGNCACTAAACTTTCAGGCGCCATGAGTCACTAAACTTTCAGGCGCCATGAGTCACTAAACTTTCAGGCGCCATGAGTCACTAAACTTTCAGGCGCCATGAGTCACTAAACTTTCAGGCGCCATGAGTCACTAAACTTTCAGGCGCCATGAGTCACTAAACTTTCAGGCGCCATGAGTCACTAAACTTTCAGGCGCCATGAGTCACTAAACTTTCAGGCGCCATGAGTCACTAAACTTTCAGGCGCCATGAGTCACTAAACTTTCAGGCGCCATGAGTCACTAAACTTTCAGGCGCCATGAGTCACTAAACTTTCAGGCGCCATGAGTCACTAAACTTTCAGGCGCCATGAGTCACTAAACTTTCAGGCGCCATGAGTCACTAAACTTTCAGGCGCCATGAGTCACTAAACTTTCAGGCGCCATGAGTCACTAAACTTTCAGGCGCCATGAGTCACTAAACTTTCAGGCGCCATGAGTCACTAAACTTTCAGGCGCCATGAGTCACTAAACTTTCAGGCGCCATGAGTCACTAAACTTTCAGGCGCCATGAGTCACTAAACTTTCAGGCGCATAACTTGAATGGATGTAATTAGGAACAATTATGGGGCATAACTGAAAAAAATTGCTTATACCCTTCAATTTTGGGAGACATACTCCTGACCTGAGGACGTGTAATGAGGGGTGAAGGGGAGTGATGGGAGGCGATGAAGGGTGATGAAGGGTGATGAAGGGTGTTGCGGGGTGATGACGGGTGATAATTGAAGGGGTTGAAAGGTATGAGGCAATGGGTAGGAGGTGATGGGAGAAGAGGGAATTGGAACATGCGAGAGGGGAGAAGGGAAGAGTGTAGGGTGAGGCAAATAATTTTCAAAATGTGTGTTTAACTGGGGGGGTTGTGGGTTGGAATGTCGAGGATGGGGAGACAGGGGAGGGGGTTTAGTCTCTTAGTGAGGGGGTGGTTGAGCCAGTAGTGAGGGTCGAGAGAAGGAGGGGACTGGAGGAGGTCATCACTCCCAGCTCTCTCCCTCCCATCCCCTCCGCATCGCTCCCAGCTCTCTCCCTCCCATCTCCTCCGCATCACTCCCAGCTCTCTCCCTCCCTAGGGGAGGCGTAGTGAGGGTCGAGAGAGGGAGGGTAGGGGAGGCGTAGTGAGGGTCGAGAAAGGGAGGAGACTGGAAGAGGCGTAGTGAGGGTCGAGAGAGGGAGAGTGGGGGAGGCGTAGTGAGGGTCGAGAGAGGGAGGGTAGGGGAGGTGTAGTGAGGGTTGAGAGAGGGAAGGGAGGGAGGTGTAGTGAGGGCTGAGAGAGGGAGGGTAGGGGAGGTGTAGTGAGGGTCGAGAGAGGGAGGGTAGGGGAGGTGTGGTGAGGGTCGAGAAGGGAGGGTAAGGGAGGCGTAGTGAGGGCTGAGAGAGGGAGGGTGGGGGAGGCATAGTGAGGGTCGAGAAAGGGAGGGTAGGGGAGGTGTAGTGAGGGCTGAGAGAGGGAGGGGACAGAAGAGGGGAGGGGTTCACAGCATAGGTGAGCGCCTGTGGTCCCCCGGCCGCCCAGGTGAGGAAAGTTATTCAGTCGCGCGCCGGGCGCCGTCGTGGGTGGACGTGCGTGTCTTTTTCAGCCACTCTGTGTCTGAGCTTGATGCATAGCCCTCATCATTATTGAGCATTTTTTTCAGTTTTAAATTGTGTTCACTGGTAAAGAAATGTTCATGGTGTTCTGTTTTCATTAACATAAAATTTAATATATTAATCAAGTTATCATTAAACGAAGTACATTTTTGGGCACCCAAATTGATTATCAAGTATCAGTTTTTAACCTTGCGCCCTTGCGCTTAATCTTGAATTTATTCTAACAATTTACTATCTTTTGATAACTCCATCATAACAAATTTTTACTGAATTATTACCATTTTCAAATAGTTTCATTGTTATTATTTTTATTCTATGTTAACATTGAATTTCTTCGTTGCATGTGACAACAGGTTCTTTCAAACGATGATCCATTAAGTGGTAATTTTTTCCTCTTAAAATTCACGTGCTCTTTAATCTTCAGTTTAATTTTTATTCTCTTCGAACCTTTGGCACCGTCCAAGCTGTCTCCGCTTAACCTTCTACGTACGGTTAACCTCGAGATGGATGCGCTCGTTGTAAGTAAACAAAAAAATTTAATCTTGTAATATATAAGTTATAAATATAGGAAAAATATTTTTATAAGTTTATGTTGAAGGCATTAAAGAATATGTATTTTAAGATCATGTTGATTGCATTAAAGAATATTTATTATAAGTTCATGTTGAATGCATTAAAGATCATGTATTGTAAGTTGATATTGGAGGCATTAAAGAATATGTATTATAAGTTCATGTTGAACATAAAAGAGATCATATATGGTAACTCTTTGCTTTAAATTGAATCAACCATAAATGAAGTTAGGATTAAAAAGCCATTTAATTTCATTTGAAGCTCCGATAAACACGATATAAAATTTTTTAGTTCATTTTGTGCCGCTTCGGATTTACACTGCGTTCGATTTAAGCGCCAGATGATAGTTCAAATGTACGATTTTTTATTGTTCGAGCAATAAAAATATTGCTAACTTATCTTCAATTGAGCTCGAAATTAACTTTTCATGTACTGCCGGTATCTCTTCGTACCAGGCCTTTATGTACAAATAGTGTGAACGACGGTATCTACAATATACACAAAAGGGTAATGTAATTTAAATAATCAATTTAATTTGTTATCTAATTGATCACTGATAAATATTATATTGTAATTTGATTCAGAGGTCACTGAGGTGAACAGCTTTGAGCAAATATTTTGGTTGGTTTGCCTGTAAATTAAAAGGATTCATTAAAAATTTGCCTCACGAAGAGGAGAGGCATGAAATAAAACTACGGTAATCGCTCGCAAAGTTTCAGTTCATGAAAAACGATGACAAAATTTCCAGCACATTACTGAGTCAAGCAAATTCATTCAATTCATGGTTAAGCGGAAATTAATTCATCCCAAAATGTTTGACCGACATTAAATTTTGTCAATTCAGTTCGTTGAACGTAGTCCGTTTTAGGTTGTTCAAGTAAAAATGTTTTATTTCTGCCAATGTTTCCAGAAAAATATAATGCGAGCGTAATTTTCACCAAAATATATATTTTAAATTTTTTGTAAAGATATTGGTTTTATAAACAAATTAAAACGCATTATTTTGAGTTTTCCATTCCTTCTTCAAGAACTGTCAAAAGTCAGTAACATTTTGTTATCCAGACTAACAACATTTAAAAAATTCTATTTACGAAGTTCATAAAATACAAATTTAATCCTAAGCAGAACAAAATGCTTTCAACCATCATCTTTTGCTTTCTTGAACAAAGACCTTAGGCGAAAAATGTTAGTGTTCTCGAACATAATGCTGTGTTGCACGGTGTTCACTCTGTGGCATGAGTAGTGTTCCCGAACATAATGCTGTGTTACACGGTGTTCACTCTGTGGCATGAGTAGTGTTCCCGAACATAATGCTGTGTTGCGCGGTGTTCACTCTGTGGCATGAGTAGTGTTCCCGAACAAAGTCCTCGGCCTGTGGTCGCACGGAAGTGACTCTGTAGCAAAAGTCGATGAATCCATCGCGGCATGAATTATTCAGACTCGTCGATAGGGTGTGGGTCATTCGGCAGTGGACAAAGCAAGACAATTTACAGCAGTCACGCAATGCTTAAAGATTTCTCAGGTGCTCAGCCAACCGCTGTGTAGGTTTGCAAATGTCCACACTCAAATAAGCGGGGATTCGATCAAGGTTCAATGAAATTTTCATGATGTAGTTATCAACTTACGCGGAGAAAAGTATCCTGGGTGAAACTTTGGAAAAAAGTAGTATCGAAGAGATAGTGAAATCCTTATTTTCATATATGTCAGTTGCTGAATATTGTTGAGACTTTTGCAACCGTAATTTTTTAAAACGCTCTATCGTATGGGGTAAAATTATCGTTAACAGAAAATTACATCACGAATTTTAAAGGCGTTTCCGCCAACTTTATTTTTTAAAAGAGCCTTGGAATTCAAAGGAATTGTTTCAACGGATGATAAAACTGTGACATTACGCCTATAAAATTGTGAAAGTCAACCCTGATTGCATGGCCGGTATCAGGCAGGCGATGATGTTATAACCTGCCTTGTTATCAGACACTCACGTTCTCCATCACATGACCTGAGGTCAGCGGGTCGTTCTTATCTCCTTTGCAGTGTGTTCGACGCAATTAAAAATCACATAAAGATAACCATTGAGGTTCAAACAGTCTCATTCAAGTAATTTTTCTCGAAATTCCAAGGCTTCATTTTGAGAGTTCCAAAAAAAATAACATGAGCATGAATTATAATTTTTGTAATAGACTCGTGCGAAACACTTTCTCGAATATTCGAAATTTCTTCACCGTTTTTATTTTGTTCGGAAACTTTCAGAAACAGAAATATTTCTGTAATTCAAGTTAATTTGCAATGGTTTCCTTCATTATTTTGACTGAAGATAAGCAACGCTGCATGGGGTATTCGGTCACTGAGGATAACTTAGTAATATTGATATTCTTTATCAAGCCTAGAAGCTATTCATTGATAATTAACAAAATATCGTTAATGCCTCGTAGAATTATAAAGCACTTACAACAAAGTGATAAGTGTGTTTGATTTTCAATTATTCCCAATTTCTAACGTTGATTCCCGCCAATTTGGAAATCAACGAGAAGAAAAATAGGCACACTAACACAGTATAATTGAGCGTCGGTATCAAAGGGATTTTGCAAGAGGAACTTTGGCTTGTTTAACAATCCATTGTTTGTGCATTGTTTACATTGTTGAAGTTCCCTAGAAAATTCAACTTCGGGAGTAAATTTCTGAGAAATTTTCGGCGTTAGCAAGGCGCATACAGATTAAGTCCAAGGCAAATTTAGTCCTTTACAACTTGGCCGCTCATGAGGCATCTGCAAGTTGATATTTATTTCAATGGACTGAGCGTTGAAATGTGGTGAAAACTGAGTAGTGTTCCAGTCGACCAGTGATGAATTTAGGGAAGTATTTCATGATAACTGTGGTGAGCAAGAAGCAGTGTTGCAGAAGAGCTGTGGTGAGCACAGGGAAGTATTTCACGAAAACTGTGGTGAGCAAGGAACAGTGTTGCAGAATAGCTGTGGTGAGCAAGAAGCAGTGTTGCAGAAAAGCTGTGGTGAGTACAGGGAAGTATTTCACGAAAACTGTGGTGAGCAAGGAACAGTGTTGCAGAATAGCTGTGGTGAGCAAGTAGCAGTGTTGCAGAAGAGCTGTGGTGAGCATTGCAGATGGTAATGGTAAAGAGCCCTGGACGCTCGATAGACCTTTTAGACGAAGTATGCACGCGCGCTGTTCGGCACTCTATAAACTGGCTTCGAAGTGAGCGCTTTGCGTCTGATCGATAGCCTGTCACGGACCTACTGTGGCTGTAGGGCTTGGCTTCAGCTCATGCTTGGTCAAAAGAAATGTCATGTTTAATTTTAATAATTGAATCTATTGATCAGCTAAAGGACATATTTGAAACAAGAAGTTGTAGTCCCGCAAGTGCCCGATGTAAGATATTAAAAAGTGACAAACAATGATAAGATGAGTTCGTGAAAACGATATCCTATTGACACTATCTTATGAGAAACAGCCATCAACACGCACAGTCAAAATCTAACGGCAATTGCAGGACCAACGATGACAAGTTTATGTTGTAGAAACTGGATCGCTGTACTGCCATAGGCATGACAACGGGAAATTTACTTAGCTGCAAACAATTCGTATAGATTTATTGTCGAGTGAAACATCTGGCCCTTGCAGACAGAGGAATCTAAAACTTCATTGGGATAGTAATTTACTTCATTAACTCAACAACGGTCGGAAAAATATTAGAAAATTTCTGACAGTCCGATAGGAAAGAAAATATTTTGATGTTCTGTCTACTTGAAGCATGTTGAAATGTCGTTTTTTCATATTTATGATTTTATCTGAGCATAATTGATATAACTCTAGAGAATTTACATGGGATACGATTGCTGTAATTCATCATTGTGTTAAAAATTTAAAATTTGGATGTACAGTGAAGCAAAATTTACTAAACTATCCTCCTAATTTCAAACGAACAAAAATTAATGATGAATTCAAGAAAACGAAATTTTCATCGAAAGATTATTGCTCGAATTGTTCCTTCACGGATCAATTATCCGGAAGGGTAACGAAGCATTGCGCATGAAATTCTCCGTAATTATAAAGAATCAGAGCCCGAAAACATTTCGTCTAGAGCTGTAATGCCGCACCCAGCGACGAGCCCATGTTTGTTGAACCGGCGTAGTCAAGGCAACCTGAGCCCCTGCATAAACCCCCTCAGTTAGTGAACTCAAACTGCCGGTCCTCGGTCACCGTACCCCTCACTCAATGCCCCCTCTGGTATACTGGTTTGCCCTCATCCGCAATACCGAGAAACACTCACTCACGCGTGCTAGAAAACACGCACACCTTCATGGTTGATTATATTACCGCTGAGTGAAGATTATGTAACGTGAGATATAGTTGTTGGATGAAATGTTGCATGGAATGAATGAAAATGTTGAATATCTTGAATGAAATATTGAATGATATTAATGAAAATATGCATATTGAATAAATTTTCATATCAATGTGTTTTTATCTATGATTTTCTTTGTTACATATTAATTAAATCGTCCCTTCTAGTCCTTATTAACAACGTTGTAAAAAGAAGAAAATAATGTAAACTCACGCAAAAATCCGTCGCAATAAAAATGCATATGGTCAGCGTCTCATAAGCAGTCTTCATTGCATGTGAATTACAATACATTAATGTCCGCTTAATCTGATGTATGTTCACTACATCACTTGTTAACAGAAGTTTTTTTACGTGTATTATTCGCACAATCGTTGTGGCGTTCCCAATACTTTTTCTAGGACCAAAATCTTCCATGTTTTGCAAAGAAATTTATTGCGTCGATAAAAAAACTGGCCGACATCATCGCTGAACACGTCCATCCAATATAAAAAAAATAAATATTTGTTCTGTTTCAATGGTCACAAAACGTGCTGCCATGACTTCTAACTTTATTGGCCACGTTTACCTCGTTCTAACATTACACTATGGTAATTCATTAACTATGACATTAAAGGCTTGAGTTTCTTTTTCGTGCGCATAAGCGATCACGCGGCCCGGTCAATACATGCCATGTAGCCATCGCGGTGCCTCGAGCTTCTCTGAACACTTATGAATATTTTCGTAGCCTAATCATGATTTCCAAGCGCAATGTACCCTCATGAAAATTACGGCAGTCAATCGCTGGCTATTAAATGACTCACGATGCCCCGAGGTAATATTTTTTAGAGGTAAGGAATGAACATTCAGCGAATCGATGAGTACGGACATGGTAATGGCGGACACAACATGAGTTATGTAGACTTATCGTTAGTGATGAAACGCGTCATTCATTTCTTGGTTGAAAAAAAAGCAGTTGGCATCGATCTCAATTTAAGGTATCGGCCAGTTCATCAATCCTAAAAGGACACTTGAAAGGACCTGGTCAACAAAGCCAATGTTCTGAACAAAGCTTTAGCGTAGGAAGTGCTGAAAAATGTGTAATACTTCATTATGGATCTCTGAATTACGACCAATTGCACAACGATCTTTACTCAGAACACATGCTGTAATATCACCAATTTTCTTTAGTAAAAGGAACAAATAATACTAAATTTAGAGCTAACACTTATTGTTTGAGCTAAAAGAGAATTTTGTATTGGAATAATATTTACTGATAATAATAATATTATTAACAATATTGAATACTACTAATAATAATATTCATCATTGTCACAAGTCTAAGTTAATTAAAAATATACCGTCTAAATTACTCCAAAAAATAAGTGAAAGCTCCTCATGCGATGCTCGATTATTCGGCTACTGACTACAAACGAGTTAAAATATATTCATAGTAGCAGTAAAATAGAATTTAAACAATACTGATTAAATATCATTCAATATATCACCTGGTGAAATTTATTTTTTTAATTATTTAAAAGGTTTATTTACCTGGTGAAGTTTGTTTTTTAATTATTTAAAAGATTTATTTACCACCACTTCAAACAAAAAATTAATTTTAAAAGGTTTATTTACCTGGTGAAGTTTGTTTTTTAATTATTTAAAAGATTTATTTACCTGGTGAAGTTTATTTTTTATCTATTCAAAAGATTTATTCTTTTTTTTACAGGTGAGACGCCCAACTTCCCCTCACCGTATGGACGTCGTACCGGCCGAGGAGACTCCTGCGGCTGAGGTAACGCTAAACAAACAATGTAACAAATATCCGTTTATGATGAGGACCACTCAAGAAAAAACTAACACTCACTAGATCAAACTAGTTGGTGTTAGCAACTTCACGCTAGAGTTGCACTTGACATGTGTTAATCCCACACAACTTCACAATAGAGCACCGGAACGCACCATCAAAAATAAGCACTCACATTTTATACAAAATGTAACGTCCGTGGAGCAAGAAAATATGTCAATTATAAATCTTCACCAAAATTCACGGCTAAATTGGCACCGAGAAATAACACCGAAATTTTCTTCCTAATTGTGCTAATAAATTCAATTTAATAGCAAAGAAGAATATGCTGTACCCAAATAGAATTATGCATAATCACGTCATTAAATTTAATACGTTATGACGCTTAAAATTGTACTGAATGTGAAATACTGCACCAATTTCCTCTCGCAAACAAAAAAAAAAAAGACTAATACCACCGCTTCCTGCACTAGCCAGCGCGCTATATTGTACAAACCTCTTAAAAGTATCGAACACTATACTTTCGGTCTCTACTAGCCTGTGCGCTAGACGGTATAAACTACGTAAAAGTTTCACTGCAAGTAGGTACATAGCTTAAATTACTAAAGTTGGTTATGCTGTGAAAAAAGCTGCTAGGATTATTTAAATCAAATATTCAAATTTACGGAGTTGATGACTTTTTCTAAAATCTTTCAATACAGCCTAGCTCGCACCAGTCAGTATGAGGTATTGAAGTGTGAGGTATTGAAAAGTCAATACCTCACGAGGTATTGACCGCACCAGTGAGGTATTGAAAAGTCAATACCTCACGAATCCGTCAATATAAGTTAAATGTCAGGCTCAGGTAATTTCGGGACACATTATTTATTGAGGATACACGTCCGAATAGCCTCTATATTTCTGCCAGGCTTTAAACCTACTCGTTCAACGCACGATCGAAACCTAAAGCAAACGTTCTATAACATACGAGTAAATTGGATTAATAAGCTAACCTAGGTAAGAAATGAAGCAGAAATATTTAAATGAAATAATTAAGATCCCAATAGTACAGAGATATAACATATCGGTAAATTGGTTCAAGTTCGAATGACAGCCTCACTTTTATTCAACAACTTCGACGAGAACACTCACTTAAATCACCAGTAGTTATAAAGAGTGTCGTGTCGTATACATTACTCGCGTATTTTCGCATATATCACGTACGTGTCTTGTCACATATATCACGCGTGTTTTACCGCATACATCAAGCCAATTTATATATTCGTCAAATAGTGAAGCAAATCAGGAAAATGAAGGATATAAAGATTAAAATTATTCATTTTTTGTTTCATTACATTCGATTTGAAATTTATTTTTGTGCACACACTTTTAAATGAAAATGCAACCTTTCAATTGTAATAGAGTCATCTAGAATGTTGGGTTTGCTAAACAAAAAATTTGATTCTTAAATTTTCATTCTTTAAATTCATCAATATAAATTTCAATGAATTGATTCAGTATTGAAGCTCTGTCATTATACAGTTGAAATGAAATATTAAAAATAACACAATAATTTGTAGTTTACTCACATTTGTATTTATAATTTTTGCAAGTCCTGAAATATTTCTGTTGAAAGGTCCAGATATTTTTAATTTGCAAAAAAAAGTAATACAACAAACAAAAATTAACATTTTAAGAACGCTCATAATTTGCATGTACGTTAAATCTTATTATACTCGACGAAGCTCCAAAAATAATAACGTATGAGACACGTCAGCTAACAGGATAAGAAGCCATAACGTATCAGACACGTAAGCTAACAGTATAAGAGACAACCATAACGTATGAGACACGTAAGCTAACAGTATAAGAGACAACCATAACGTATGAGACACGTAAGCTAACAGTATAAGAGACAGCCATAACGTATTAGACACGTAAGCTAACAGTATTAGAGACAGCTATAACGTATGAGACACGTAAGCTAATAGTATAAGGAACAACTACATGCTGCTCAGAGTCAATACAAAATTACACTGACTACATACATATTGAATTGTGGTCGGTGACTATAATGTATACTGTATTTGCCCGACCTGCACGTCGAAATTAATAAAACTTTGAATAAGTGAATCTCTTACATATCTAAGTGCTGCCATTTCGTGAAGTTTAAATTTGTTCCGTATCGCAAAACAAACGCCGCTTCAGTTTCGTACATCATTTCATTCCTAATTCATCGAGATCGCGCATGAATAACTTGCGTTGGCGGCTATGAAAGTAAGGCAAATGCAATAGCTCCGCCCCTTGCGTTATTTAAGTAAGCACCTTTGGTTATGTAAGGATGATTATTTCAAGTGTATAGCACGAAAGCTGGAATATTTGCAGCAATTGGGACATTACCATTAAAAAAATCATTTCATAGTCAACACTTCATGTCAGAAAAGAACTGAGAAGTACATCTTTTAAATTTATTGTGTGGCTCACTTCCTGGGTGTATTATATTACGAAAGGATAAATAATATGAATCGACACTTGCTTCTACAGCTAATAATGAAGTAGATTACTGCCTTGCCGGTACTCGTTGCTAGGTAATTATTGAAGTTTTTTCCCCAAAGATTATTCTGTCTGTTATACGCGCTGGTATTATATTATTTACTTCATGACTTATTCTTACATAACTTTCTCTATATAAGTACAATACTTGTACTTTAGTTTACAACAAATACATTACTTTGGTTTACAAATGCACTCGCTTGCTTTTGGGTCTGACCGTATAAAACTGAAATAATGAGCGAATGCACCAGCAAATAGATCCATCATGTGAGTTCTTGGAAGTGCACGACACTTGTATATATACCTGCACATCGCTTTCAAAATCTTGCTGTTTTCAACTTTTACAAGATATCGTTTAAATTTCCTACAAGCAAATTATTTTTTAGGATTAAAAATAAAATTAATGATCACAAAGTTGCCTTGAGATGTGTATAATGAAATGAAAATGGTTGTGTGGTTTTTGACATCATAGATATTTGATTATCAGGGTTTCATTAGCTTTACACAAATTCAGCTCATGATGGACTGGGACAGAGGCCGTCGCAGTGCCTTGACAAGTATTTGTAAATCATCTAAATAATATAAAATTTAACATTTTTAACGATTTCGAACGCGAAAAAAGTTTTTTTTATTTGCGATGCACAAACCGATGATGCAAAGTCGAGATGGAACAGCTTAGAAAAGAAATTTGCAAACAAGATTCATTGATTCATTTAGTTCGTGGCAAGGAAAATAAACGTTCATATATCGAATTTGATGACCAGAGCATAACAAAAGGTTAAAATTGTTATTAACAAATTTGAGAAATTTACAAATTGTGAATCTTCTCTCTTAACATTTTCCTCTCCACTGGCAACGTCACAGTGAATATCATTTGGCGAATTCAATGACCGAAGATGAAGCGAAGCTGTCACGTGCCACTGGTTTGATCGTAATGTTAAATAATAAGGCACCTAGAGGGCCAGAGGAGTGGCTGCGAACCGGAAAACGAAACCTCGCCAGTCTTCCGGGCCCCACAAACTCGCAACGGATTTGCGAATCTTCTGCCTACTTTTTATTTATTTTTCTTGGAAGGTTGTAACTCCCTTCGGGTAGAAACTTTTGGCTGCCCATTAACGTACAGCAAAGATGTTGTTTTCTCTACTTGCCCCGGCGGCACTGCCTTGGAAAAGAACTAAATTGACAGCGGGGAACGGCCGGATAAGATCATTAATTAAAGAGTTAAAAATAAAGCAAAAATACTGCAAATTTCATTGTTCGAGCTTCAAAAGTTGCAACCAATTTATTGAATTTACAATGGGAATACCAGCATTTAAACATAGTCCCCAAACATTATAGTTATAATCCGTTTTATTCGTAGGTTTCCTCATTACTTTCCAAGTCCCTCAGGCTAGACGCAAGCGGGGCGGGAGATCGTCTATCTAGAGCTGCGCAGAGGTACTGCTTTATTCAGTTCCAGCTTCAACTTCCTCGGTCTCGCTGCTTTAGCTTGTGCATAAAAAATTCTTACCAAAACCAAAACCAGAACCTGAATTGTTTTCCTATTGTTGGGATACGGAAATGATACATTCAAAGATTTTCAGGAAAATTGATTCTTTAGCCTTCATCATCATTGATTAACATTATTAGCCACTTTATTGCCAAGGGTCGAAATGAAGTTTGGCTACAATTCGAACATGAAAAATCAATTTTAAAAATTTAATTCTACTTGAATATTTGAGAAATTTGGGGAATAAGGCGTAAAGTTTCAAGGGAAACTTGAGAATTAAGGCGTAAAGTTTTAATTAAAATTTTGGTGATGCTCATTATGATTTGCGGCTACCAGGCAGAATAAAGTACTTTGAAAATCGGATATTTGAATTAATAAATCTTGTCTCGATCTCGTTTCTCGAAACTAATTTCATTTTCCTCATAAAATAAGCTAATAATCAGCGAAATAAAGCAACACATACAAGAGATGACACAGGGAGAATATTATTAGCAATGGCTGTATGAGAATAGGAAGGTTCGACGCAGAATGCTGCAGGCGCTGGCTTTTATACTGCGGTTGGGGCATAGCAGGTTGACGCGAGCGTGTGCCGCATGAGGGCATCTGAGGCGTTCGATATTCGCTCGCACAGAACCTGCGGGTCACGCAACACAGCCACGGACCACGCAATCTACGTACCTCCTGTCGCACATGATTTTTTCCTACGAATGTCAGAAAAAGCGTTTCGTTTTTATAATGAAATCGTCAGCAAAATCGTTAGAAATTGTCAGCAAAATCGTTATAAATTGTCAGCAAAATCGTTAGAAATTGTCAGCAAAATCGTTAGAAAATGTCAGCAAAATCGTTAGAAATTGTCAGCAAAATCGTTAGAAATTTTCAGCAAAATCGTTTTTCGAACGAAAGTCAGAACATTTTAATTTCTAAAAAACGAAGGAAGAAACAATTTTTATTACAATTGTATCTGATTTTTCACACGGATGCAAGATAAATCTGCTCTTCAGCAGAACAGCACCTGATTTTATTTACGAACGTGAGAAGCGTAATGAAATTATTTTTTCAGTAGAACCACGCCAGCGTCTTCTTACAAACATAGAAAAAAAGCTTTTCAGAGTTACAATATCTAATTTTTTTGCGAAGGAAGGAGAAATGTTGCCTTTTCTGTAGAACCATATTTGCCTTCACTTGAGAACGTATTATCATTCGTCACTATTGCGGTACGAGGGAAGCAGTTATCTTTAGAACCGCCATTAGAATTCAATGCTCGACCTGTTTTGCCTTGTGAGCCGAATAACAGATCGCAGCTGCAGACCAATGAATCTGATCTATGGCTAATGGAACAAAAGAAAATTTTGCCAAGAGAAAATTTCAATATTTTACTGAAATGAAATTTTCAACTTTTGATCAAAGATTGAACTCATTTTCTCCATAAAATTAAGGTTATTTTAGTTTAAATGTATTTATTATCTGTTGTTATCGGAATTTTTCATTGTTATAGTACTGGGACAGTGGCTATTAATGGGACTCTTTGTCAAGAATCATCCGATTCTTTTGAACCCGGAAAGACAGTTCAAAAACAAAAAAATCGGAGACAGTCGGAAAGACAGTCCGGAACCCGGAAAGACAGTCCGACAGTTCTGAACCCGGAAAGACAGTCCGAAAAAACAGTCCAACACAAAAGCTGCGGCTAATTAAACCGAAACGAGAGCAAATGAGAACTTCATGCAGGTTTTAATTCAGGGACAAATTGCTATGGTTGTGCCGTGAGTCATTCGTCCGAATTTTGGCTAGAGGTCAACGCTCGCCTGGGCGTTGTCGGCTTATTAACGAGAGTGGTTCAGTGAGTGGTGAGTGGGGGCCACTCTAGAGTGTTGGTGCACGAGTGTTGTGTCAATTTATTAACGAGAGTGGTTTAGTGAGTGGTGAGTGGGTGCCACTCTATAGAGTGTTGGTACATGAGTGTTGTGTCAACTTATTATAGAGAGTGGTTTAGTGTGTGGTGAGTGGGTGCCACTCTATAGAGTGTTGGTACATGAGTACGGCGTCCACGTGAGTGTCGCGTTCAGCTTGTGGTGAGTGGGTGCCACTCTATAGAGTGTTGGTGCACGAGTGTTGTGTCAACTTATTATAGAGAGTAGTTCAGTGAGTGGTGAGTGGGGGTCACTCTAAAGAGTGTTGGTGCATGAGTGTAGCGTCAACTTATTACAGAGAGTGGTTCAGTGAGAAGTGAGTGGGGCCACTCTATTAAGAGTGTTGGTGCACGAGTGTTGCGTCAACAACAGAGAGTGGTTCAGTGAGAGGTGAGTGGGGCCACTCTATAGAGTGTTGGTGCATGAGTGCGGCGTCAACTTATTACAGAGAGTGGTTCAGTGAGAGGTGAGTGGGGCCACTCTATTAAGAGTGTTGGTGCACGAGTGTTGCGTCAACTTATTATAGAGAGTGGTACGGAGAGTGGTCCAACTCATTACAGAGAATGGTCCAGTGAGTATTGAGTGGCGGTCACAATAGAGAGCCTTGGTGACCAAATGTTGCATCAACTTATTACAGAGAGTGGTTCAGTGAGTGGTGAGTGGGGGCCACTCAATAGAGTGTTAGTGCACAAGGGCTTCGTCAACTCATTACAGAGAGTGGTTCAGTGAGAGGTGAGTGGGGACCACTCTATTAAGAGTGTTGGTGCACGAGTATTGCGTCAACTTATTATAGAGAGTGGTACGGGGAGTGGTGAGTGAGGGCCATTCTATGGAGTGTTGGTGCACGAGTGTTAAGTCAACTCATTACAGAGAGTGGTACGGAGAGTGGTCAAACTCATTACAGAGAATGGTCCAGTGAGTGGTGAGTGGCGGTCACAATAGAGAGCCTTGGTGACCAAGTGTTGCATCAACTTATTACAGAGAGTGGCTCAGTTCTTGGCGAGTGGGGGCCACTCTATTGAGTGTTGGTGCACGAGTGTTGCGTCAACTTATTACAGAGAGTGGCTCAGTTCTTGGCGAGTGGGGGCCACTCTATTGAGTGTTGGTGCACGAGTGTTGCGTCAACTTATTACAGAGAGTGGCTCAGTGAGTGGCAAGTTCTGCATATTTGCGTGAAGGAGGATATCTTATGAGAGTCGGCACATGAGGGGTTTTGTGCTACAAGGTCTCATTACACGAATGTTTCTTGCCTCGTTTTATGATAGTTAATCATGTGATACTTAACTCACTCGGTGAAAAGCTCGCAATGTCGAGAGACCTCTATGATGTTTAATCAAAATATCAACCATTGCATCTAGTCTAATACAATTTTCTATTTCAATGTTATTACCGACAGTAAAAAAAACTTTACATTTAAGGTAAAGTAATAGAAATTCTTAATGCAAGGTGTCATTTCAAATTTGAAGAAAAGTACATGGCTTCAGTAAATGAATCTATGACGATGAGCGATGAACGATTTGGTTGTAAAATGACGAAAAGAGTGACTAAAAACTTCTTAATTTTAAATACTAAGATTTATTTGCAAAATTTATTTGGTTCTTAGCAGGTTAAGAAAAAATAATCCTGCTGACCTCATCCCGGCGAAGTAATCTAAATGTTAGGTGTAATTTCCGTAGATTTATTCATACCCCCCATCCGTCACGTACTTGAATGCGCATTTCTGGTTGCGTTGGCGATGTAAGCCATGTAATGTTCAGATATTCTTAAACTTTTAAAGTGCAATGACCGGTTAAATCTACATAAATCTATAAAAGGCTTCATGGATTTCACAAGGAAAAGAACGGGTAAATACGTATTCAACGTCTGAATGAAAAATAATTGAGTTCTGTAAATTTTTTTGTGTAATTTGATGCCGTTTTTCAGGTGCGGACATTGTTCGTGAGTGGTCTGCCCATGGATGCCAAGCCCAGGGAGCTCTACCTTCTCTTCAGAGCCTACGAGGTGATGACACTTATTTATAATTGCATTACAATATATATTAGATAAATGGGTGAGACTTTGAAGCAGCGATGCATGTTTTACTCCTGAAATATTTGGCTAAAAAAAGTTTTATCCGTGCTACGTTCGCTCTCTTCACGTGCAGTGGTAGAAAAAGTGTGTCACTATTTTGTTGTTACGACCATTAATTTTGTTAGTGTTCACTCGTTATTTAAACATATTTCTGATTCCTTGGATGAAAAAAAATCGGCTTGGATGAAAAATCGGCTTGGATGAAAAATCGGCTAAATTCGTCGACTTGTCAGCAAAAATGTTTTGCTTGTATTATGAAACTGTTATTGATTTTCTATTATTATCATACATATATTATACTATATTATAATTTTTCATTATTAATTTTCATTTTCAGGGCTACGAGAGCTCGCTCCTCAAAGTAACCAGCAAGAACGGCAAGACGGCTTCTGTGAGTCTAACTTTTTTCATCACGCAACCAAAAAATAGTGAAATATAATTAGAGAGAAAATAAAAAATATATCATATAAAGACATATTTTTAGAAGAAAATGAGGCAGCAACAGTAATTAAATTCGCTAAAATGGAGACTCAAATCTAAGACTTAAAAAATTACAAATGAATAAATCCAATGATGTTATTTGCTATAAATTATTACTGAGTTCAATTAGGATTTTTGGAACATTTAATGTTAACAAAGTTCATAAAATGAATTCAATAATTTGCAATCCAGTGATTCGCATAAGTAGTTTTACTTGACGCATTTCCAAACTGAATTCATCACTCTGCATTTATTTTTTCGCAATATTTACCATAAAAATTCAATTAAACTGGATATGTTTACTCGCATTATCAACATAAGAATGATATATACCATAAATTTTTACTCGCAATATTTATTCTAAAAAATTTATTTCACTATTTATATTTTACTCGCAATAAATGAAACTTCCATTTCACTGTAGATTTTTATTCGAATTATTTACCATAAAACTTCCTTTACACTATATATTTTTACTCGCAACATTTATCATAAAACTTCCATTACACTATACATTTTTACTCGCAATATTTATTCCATTACACTATGTATTTTTACTCGCATTATTACCATAAAACATCCATTACAGTATACATTTTTACTCGCAATATTTACCATAAAACTTCCATTATATTATACAGCCCGTGGGATTTGTGACCTTCAGCACCCGCGCTGGCGCTGAAGCTGCAAAACAAGATCTCCAGGTTAGTTAAAAATTCATTTTTTTAAAAATAGTTATTATATGGAAATATTTCAGTAATTAATTTTTGTTTCGATCGATAATGGCAAAATAAATATTAGAAAAAATGTCGTTAAAAACTATACATTTTTCAATTTTCGTTAAAAAACTATTTCAAAACTATACAATTATTTTTGAAATTGAGAAAATGGCTTCGTATAAGAGTACATTTTTTTAGTAAAAAGGGTATACCCGGCTAGAGCTTCTCGTATTTTCGTATCAAAATTACATTTTTTATGACAATGTTTTGTTGAATCTCGGTCCAAAAATAAAATAAAATCAATTTCGAAATCCATCATTGAACAGTTACCCCTTGCACTATCTCTTGTAGAAATGTTGAATGCGGATGATGTACAAATAAGATCTATCGACATCATCTAATTTTTCGTAATTCGTACTAAATATCTTTCTAGACTCATAGTATTCCTACGTACCAACATCGATGGGCTTTTAACTTTGTTTGTACCATTGCGATCATCTGTAACAATTTCTGTACTGCATTTGCAAACACTAAAAGGATCGAAGGTGACATGGTGAGTGACACGCTAATCTGCAGTATGCCATTTTTGACTCTAGTTTGCTTTTCTAAACTATTACTAAGCAACACGCAATCAGCTACTAGTTGTTTTTTTGATTAAGATGTCCTGCTACGGCAAAATTCCGGTCTTTTAAACACATGAAATTAATGAGACGAGAGTCTATCTCGAGGAACGGTAAACCCCCATTAAATATTTGAAAGTTTTTGGAACATACCCAATCAGGCCACAAAATTCCATCAACCGCAGTGTACAAATTTCGAATAAAAGAAATGGTGAAGGGAAGCTGTGGATGGTAATTCGGTCGCTGCGTCATCTCTGTGCAGCAACCTTCTACTCGACTTCTTTGATTCGACATGCCTGCAGTTGCTTGCAAGCGCTGAGTGAAGCAACGTTCTAGTGCAATCGATCCTGTGAATCTCTCAGCAATGGTAATCCTTGAACAGACTTTGACCCGAGGGTGGGTAGTGCACAGTGTGGCTCAGACACTGGTTTATTCTTTATCACTTGAATACTCACCACCACCATCACCCTGCAGTCGACACTTGATTAATCTACGAAACTTTTTAAGCTCCCCAAAAAATGATAATTCGTGAGTGAATAAGGCTTTGATGCACCGCAATGGACTTCAGAAATAATGACTGAGGCTTTGACGATATGCAAATCAAGTCTTTAACTCATGCGAATGAGATTTGTGTTCTAAAAAGGACAAACCACGACAGGCCTTCTTGCTCTTCCTAAAATTGCATCTAAAAATGAATGTTCTTGGCAATTCGAGAGACATTGAGAGTTCGACGGCAATAAAATGGACCACCAGGAAATTTGCCTCCACTGATTACAGAGTTTTTTAAAGATTTCAGTTGTGGATATGGTTGGACAATTATTGAAATACAGTGACCCAAATTTCAATATTTTTTTCGATGTGATTCCTTCAGCAACGCGTCCATGAGCAGCACTTAGGCCCCTCTATCATCGGGCCCGTTCCAGATTATATTAGAATCTGGAAAAATTTCAATGAAGTTATCTAATTTCATTGATCCGTGCAATGACAGCGGCGAAAATCAGCATCGTTACAATCGGAATGGATTGATTTCTTTTATGCTAATAATTTTAAACTTGGATATTCTTCATAAAAGGCCGGAATGGTGATGCATTAGTCGAAATTATTGCCATATCGCATCGCAAAAAAATGTGAGACGATGAATTTGATTTGCACATGGATATTCGACTACGATTCTGATTATATTGATGCTGGTTAACTCGTCAACATATTGACTTAGGAGCTTGAGAGTCTTATCGCAGCAGTACTCGTTGCCCGCTTACGACAGCACTCCGGAGTTGGCGGGTGAAATTGCAGGGTAAATTGCTCTTGTTGCTAACTACCCTCGTTCTCCTCACGATGCCACCTGCCCTCTCTACCCTCACTACGCCACCTCTCTGGCACTCATAAGCCTACAGGCAATCACCTCAACTTGCACTTCTACCCCACCTACTCTCCACTTTTTCCCTCTCCCTCAACTTTCTTCTCACTCACTCGTATTTTGATTTATTCATTTCATGGAGTCAAGTCTTGGCGCCGCACAAAATTCGTATAAAATAATTATTGTCTCTGACATAACCAAGGAAGGCGCATATGAGATAAAATAAATCTCTGCCTTGTACGCCTCTTGTCGACAACTTGTTCCGCAATTCTAGGCCAAGCCGTCAAAACTGTTCACTTTGCAGTAGAGTAGCTGTAAGAATAATTGAATAACTTTAGTGTAGTCAATCTGTTACACATAAATCGAAGGAAAAATCAGTTCTTACAAAGTTTTTATCAGTATTCTTTATCACAGTTCAAAAAGGTTATAATTATGCATGGTCATTCAATTGCTTCATAATAAAAACTCGTGATCTGTGCGAGTTGTCTCCTAATTGAATTCATAAATTTAAGTTTAAAAATCAAAGTAAAATGTATCCCCACAGTCACTAGTTTGTTATCATAATTGGGACACGAAATATTTGGCGGCAACGATACAGCAGTTGCACCTAAACTCACATAGCTAAGTTTGCTGCTCACATCGTAATTAGCAAAGTTTTACATTCTTAATAAATTTTTGCCTATATAAGCACCTATGCAATATTCATAATGCAAGCTTTGTCACTTACTGACGAAATGAAACTGTCTGGAAACAGAATAAATTCGAAGCAGGATATTCAAGAATTCAAGGGTATATACTTGAATTCTTTGCTCACTCGACCGCACATGTTTCTGTACGGCAGTTATTTGAAATTCTATTAAATTTAAGAAATAACTAAATTAAAAAATTAAATTATCGGGTTTAAAATTCAGGTTCTTTGGCTTCCTAACTTTTTTTTTGTTAATTCCTATTCCAGCTTTTTTGAGATAGTTTATATGATGCAATCGTCGTAACCATTTTTAGAGTGGGGAATTCAAAAGTTTCTTGATTTTCTAGTTATTTAGTGAATATTTTACACGTATTTTTCATCAAAAGTTTCTCTCCACACTCATTATCATATTGCCATTCATTATTATCTGAAAATAATTTCCATGTATCATCCATCATTTTCTCTTATTTTCCATTCCCTGATCTTCTGAATCCTACACAAAGTTATGAATCCTAGACCCACATAAATATGGTCGAGCGCCAGTCTGATCATACATGAATTAGAGCAGACTATAATCCAATGATCAAACAAGCAGTAGAGTCAAAAGGTAAACAAATTTCCACAAAAAAACTTTCTACCTTTCCGAAAGTTTGTTCCTCACTTGGACAATGACTACGATCTGGGATTTTGTTTGTGCATTGAAGGTAAGAATAACTTCATGGTAAATTTCAAAGTGCATTTGTTTGATTTTTACAGCAAGGAGTGAGGTTCGATCCAGACATGCCGCAGACCATCCGTCTTGAGTTTGCAAAGAGCAACACTAAAGTGAGCAAGCCGAAGCAACAGCTTCCTCCAGCCGCTGCCCCGCACCCAACTATGATGCACCCATTTCCTGGACGTAAGTCAATTTTTTTGTACCGTATATCTATGTTTGTAATATATGATGAATAATAATGCGTAATTTGCATATGATGCACCCATTTCCTGGACGTAAGTAAATTTTTTGTACCGCATATCTATGTTTGTAATATATGATGAATATTAATGCGTAATATGCATGAATAATAATTAGTAGTTATAAGGCTTATTATATATTTTTGGTTGCTGTTTCTGAATACATTGAAATGATACCGAAACACTTGTCTTGAATTCGTTGGATTTTGAAATAGTGAAATATATATTCTATTTGAATTTTTATCCGATATATTAATTATATGACATTTGTACGACAATTTTATTTGCTTTGACGTTATTTAAACGCTCACCAGTTGGATTTCTTCGAGCAGTGGAACTTAACCCGGCATTTTTTCCGGGTGCACCCGACGTTTGGCCACCGCACCCTTTTGCGTACACACCCGCGGACTTACCGGGTGCCGCGGGTTTGCAACATCACCACGCCTTGTTCCCAGCTCTGCAGGCTGCACATCACGCAGCTGCGGCACAAGTGCCTGTACGTTCCTACCTCTGACTACCTTTAACCCAAGCCTTCGAAAAACATTGCGACATCCACTTAACTTACAACCCAATGATTTCACTTCCCACTCCCAGCTTAGCTTCTGTCACCAAAGTCAAGCTCTGCGATTCAAAAGAGGAAGCGAATTTGCCTTTGATTTCGCCAATGACGCCCTCAGAGCCATCCAATCTCCTTCCAACCCAAGACAGTCAGCAGCCACGTCAGTCTCTGCTTGGAGAAGCTTCGCTCCTTCACAATCGAGACCTAATTCACTCCATTCAACTGATAGCTCAGGCTCACAGCAAAGTACACGTTAGTTGCTTCGATATTCATGTGGCTGGCTAAATGAAAGCACTTTTATCTCCCTAAGTTAATGCATCTTCTGTGCTCATAAATTTGCTTATTTATTAACGGCAGTGCCGAATGACTGTAGTTTGTTGCAGTTTTACGTATCTTTTGACTTGCTTCTCGTGCTCTTTTATTATAACTATCCTCATACATCTCACAAACAATTGGCTTTGCTAAAAAATAAGCCATATTTTTTGCTTAGCAAAGACTAAATTATCTTGAAGTCATTATGATGGATCAGCATACTCAGATAATTTTCGCCTTTCAGTGCGAATTTCAGATCAATTAACAAAAAAAGTAGCGTGTTTAAAACGCTATCAGACAAATTCTCCTGGCACGCTGATGTGACACGACACTTTTCTTACTATTAGGCACGCACACGTAGAAATTTTCATTTAAAATACGAGTTAATTAAAATATTTCATCGTTTACATCTGACAAGAATTTCTCGCTCTTTGATATCACGCTAGTCTAGATGTGATTTGCTATTCCTATCCGTTCCTTCTTCGGAATCAATAATTTAAAGTGCACTGTCAAAACCACGATTCCATGTCTCAAGCACTTCACTCTTTATTTTCCTTGAGAAGATTTCATTTAAAATTTTAGTTATTTTCGTTACTTGCGTAATTGCTTATCTCAATCTTTAATTAAGTTGTGGCAAAATTTTTCTCCATCCTACGAATTGACCAAAAGTTCTTTTTTTTTGATAGGATTCCTGGATTACTCTAATTAAAAACATTTATTTGAGGTTCATTCAAACCGTGAACAAGATGTTTTAAGAATTTCTCGTCCTACACTAATTCACGAAAAATTGCAAACTTTCAAACGAGCTAAAAACAGTTTTGAGTTCAATGAAAATAATTATTCATTACGAAATCAGTTTAAGAAATTCAAATTCTTTGATCAAATGATTGATGCCAATTAATTATATTTTTGTCTGATTGGCCACACGGGCTCCCTTTCTTCGGAATTTACGAAAATTTTGGTGTCATCGAAAGCTTTTTAGAGTGGAAAGCTCTAAAACGTTCCAAAGCTTAATTAATTAAATTTTACTGAATACTTATTTCGATCAAGATTTACTTGGTTGTAGTATTTTCGATGCACTCATAATTGAGAGCATAAAATCTTATGCATTAGAGGTCGCTCCTGAATTAGTTCGAAGACCAATAATTGAAAAAATACAACTCAGTACTCACTGCAGTGAGTGACAGAGAGCGCATTTTCTCGTCGACGAAAACTTGAGGTCACGGACGGACAGACAGACAGACAGACGGACATGGCGAGCACAATAGTGCATTTTTTCCATAAATGAGAAAATGCACTAAAAATAAATTCGAAAACTAATTATCATGAAGGACGATCAACTGACATGACTGCCACGGCTGCTTGGGTTGTTGAAGGAGAAGGCGAAGAGCGAGCAAGAGGCCATGTTTCTCTTGTAACGAGTAGAAGTACGATCGAAGATGTACATCTGAAAGTCTAATAAAAGTCTTATTCTGAAAACTTAATAGGCATAATTTGTTCTGCGGGAGATGTAATCCGGTTTTGAACCAGTCGATGATATGCTGATAAATTGTAGGTTAGATTATTGATGTTAAAACCTCACAAAAATCTAACTTTTATTTCAGTGTGTTTGCTTCAAGTATATGAATACAAAATTAATGAAACATACACATTACAATTTATGTGAAACTTCCTGAATGGGTTGCCTTTTTATTCTTCTTAATAATTTTTGAATAACAAATCCAATTTTCAGCACGCTGTCCAAGTTGAAATATTACAGATACTTTCTTTCCGTAATTCATTCTTTACTATCAACCTCGTTTCTACAATTTGAGCACATTTTTGTTCATTTAATTATATATACCTATGTGACTGTAGTAAAAATGTTTTGTTGTTCATTTTTAAATTTCAGGCTTTCACAATTTCTAAGCTAATTTTTTATATATGTGTCTATATTTTAATATTCGTGTGCTCCATGTTTACTTTAGCACAAATGTGTTGCATTGTGTTTGCATCTGAACACTTAAATAATAAATAGTGACCGGTTGCTCAGTTATACAGACAACCTAAACTTTTCAGCCAAATTTGGAAGGATACTAAATGAAAAATTAAAAAAAATTTTGAAATTCATGTATTGTAAATTTAATGATCCAATTCGAAATTGACAGTCATTTAATGAGAAACAATGATTGCTTCTAGAGCAACATTCAGTTGTACGTAGGATGCAAGTTTCTTGTGCGTTAATTTTGCTCAAATTTCGGCTCAAAATTATTTCAGATTTTTAATTTTTCACCTCTGTCGTGAAAATTTTTAACTTAAATTCATCTTAATTAATACTCATGATTTTATCTTCTTGAATGTCACCATATACTTGCTAATAGTGCACTTCTATGTAAGTTTTTAGTTGTGTTCAAACCGATCAAATTAAGACGACCCAACTAATAATATTTTCTTTTTGTTCCACTGCACCACTGCTCCTAATGTTCAACGGCGCTTATATCATCATTGCTACGACCTCTTTCATGACACTTTCAACGTATCTATTTCACTCACTTCTAACAATTCGGCAATCCCAATTACAACTCTTCACCTGTTATTCTAAACAACATCAACTCATCCTGTTGATGGGTTGGAACGAATGCAAAAAATTATACTATCCCATATTACACCCCACATTAAAACTGTTCCTGATGCTGAATTAATTTCATACGATCCTCTACAACAACACTGGAAACACACAAAAAAATCGCCTTTTTAAATGAACGTGACGACACTGGCCCCACCTCCAATTGCTTGTGAATTTAACAAGACGTCGCTGGGTTTGCCTACGACGGCTACCGACTACACCATGCCACCGATGAGCTCATCGTCCTCGGCATCCGACTTCACCAAGACGTCGCATGTGCTTACAACAATGACTGCTGAATTTCCTAAACAATCAATGGGAATACACGGTCCGTCTCCCGACTTTATGATGACATCCACTGGGTCTCCGACTCCTCCTTGTGATTTCCCGAAGACATTTTCCCTTGGTTTGGCGCGTTCGTATCCGGAATTTGCAATGACGTCGTTGGGTTTGATTTCAACAGCCCCATATGCAGCTAGCGCACGGTCAGCTTGTGTCGCACGCCGCCCAAGCCATCATGCCATCCACAGCCTTGGGTACGCCGGCAGGATCGCCGGCTTCAGGTCACCAAGCGCCCTCGCATCATCACCACCATCATCATCAAGCCGTCCCAAGCCAGCCGTGCTCTACGCTCTTCATAGCCAACCTCGGGCCCAGCGTGGCAGAACATGACCTCAAGGACATCTTCTCACGGTGAGACTAAAACAAATTTTGTATTTCAAGTGTGTGTGTTAAATGAAATAAACAAGATCACGAATACAAATTTAATTGTTCTAGTTTTAATCTTGTTGTGTTAAGCGACAAGATTAGAATAGTGATAATGCATGTACGTATTCTTCGTCCCTTTATCAGCTTTTAACGTTTATCCTTCAGGTTGTCATCCTATACGCACTCTGCATGTCGTCCTTAAGCACTTAATTATTTTATTAATTTCATTTCAAATTCCTTTGCAATGAATTATAAATATATTTTTTCACTATATGTGAAGGCCCATCTTTAGCCAATTAATTTTTTTTTGTAAGTCACAGAGAGGAATGTCCTTTGAATTTTTAACGCCCGCCTGACATGAATGATCTGCAAGGGCCAGTTATTGTACGAGTACATTTTGGTTTAACTATCAATTCAATGTTTTTTCTCTATTGCCTTTCGCTTATCACTTGATGCCTCGTAGATTTAATAATATATAATTGCCTGCTCACCAAAAATCGATGTTTACTAATGCACGTTTCTCTTAATATCTTTCGCAATACCAACGGATCATTGAAAAATGGGTTTTGAAATTTAGTGAAAAAATGGATCGTCCACTTGGGTATCCATAGAAATTAGCCGTGTTTGCACCAGGCGTTATATCCACACATCCAGCCTCCAATCTGTGTTATAGCCAATAGGAAAAGTGTTGAGGATTTAAGAATCAACGTAAAGATTGATTCTATATATTTCTATTTAATAAAATTTCATTGAATATCAACAAAATATGTTCTCTAAACGAGAAAAAATTCAATTTCTTAATACACTGCAGATATAAAAACTAAAACTGTTCAAATAAATCTAGCTTTGAGCTCTCAGTATAACACATTGGGAAACTTAGTTCAACATTAAAATATTTCGCTCATTTTGTTGTTACCGTGTTACAAACGTGTACAGTGTACACGTTTTTCGCTCATCACTACAGTTGTTTGGTTATCAAATGTTGTATCTAGTTCTTCATACTTTCTGATGTAATTGTGTAAATTTGTAAACTTATATTTAAATAATTGCGTTAACAAAAGGGAGATAATGAAGTTTCTCATGCCATCACGAATCTGATTTATTCATATTTAGATTCCGCTAATTTATGAATGTTTAATTTTTCATCTACTAATTTGCATAGAAGGTTCGTTTACTTACATCCGCATTAAATTGTCGTTTATGCACTTAGAAACATGAAAACATTATTGAATATTATTATATGATTTTGCGGTGACATCAATAGGATTTTATGTTTCAGAAATATCATGTTATCATTCATGACTTAATTTTGGCTTGTTCGTCACTGATTTGTCCATTTCTTCTCAACAATTTTATTTTACAAACGGTATAAGATAATATAAATTTATAAATACACACGAAACCTGATATCCAGTGGGATTTCCGGGATACATGTAGCAACACCAAGTTCACTACCAAGTCACCCATAAGCTGAAAAAATATAACTCAGTACTCACTGCAGTGAGTGACCGAGAGCGCATTTTCTCGTCGACGAAAACATGAAGTCACGGACGGACACACAGACGGACAGACAGACGGACAGACGGACGGACAGACGGACATGGCGAGCAAAATAGTGTATTTTTTTTATAAATGAGAAAATGCGCTAAAATATAACTCAGTACTCACTGCAGTGAGTGACAGAGAGCGCATTTTCTCGTCGACGAAAACGTGAAGTCACGGAAGGACAAACAGAGGGACAGATGGGCAAACAGACAGACGGACGGTCGGACATGACGAGTCAATCAATCAATTTTTCCAAAAATGGTAAAATGAGCTAAAAATTTATTCAGATACACGCAGGAAAAATTTTTATCGCACGTTTGACCATCATCAGGCCTAACTCTCAGACCCAAATTAGGCCTCACTATCAGGGGATAGGCTTATATCATTTGTAGCAAATCATTTTGAGTCCTTGCTAGTTGCTTGCCTTAGCATCCTTGGTAACGCACGAATATGCATGCCTAGAAGGAAGTCTGGCGCAGCCTATATACAGTTTTCTACATCTGCCTCAAACGGCTAATGCCATAATCGCTTTTCAGGGAAAGCCACAACCAACTTCCACTAACAACTCTACAATTTTCGGCGATTTCATCCAAATTTCTGAAATTGAGGTCTGTATTGCGTAGTTTCTCTCACGAAAATTTACCGTTTGATGCGTTTCAACACAGAAGGCCAGGCTTGATTTGCTAACACAGAGTCGCTGTTCTTCAAATAACATTTTTCGAAGCTTTAGACGTGAGCCACGCTTTCTTTGTACACGGTGTTTCTTCTCCTCAAATGAACAACAACATTTCGTAAAATCGTTAAATTTGGAGTGCATAATTCTTTATCTATAGTCTTAGGGTGGTATATGAAATATGATTTCAACATTCTACAGGGACGCATGCTAACCAGCCGCCTCTTTTCCTTGCATGACGATGAATAATGCACTGAAACATTGGAATGTTGTCATATTTGTCATAAATTCATTAATATTATTTATTTCCTTCAATAAACCATTTAGGCACATGGCACCTTGATCGAGGTGATAAAGCTTCTTTATTATTGAATAAATGAGAGAAAACTTGAAATGGATTTCTTCCATCTAGAAATTCTCCCTCATGAGAGTAGATGTAGATGCATTTTATAAACCAGCGGATGCTTCTCTATTAACATTTCAGGAGATAAATGTATTCTGGCATCGCAAGGGCTCAGCTAAATCCCAGGTTCGGCCGAGCTTATTTTCACACGTTGGCTTCCTTTTTGCACGGTTCTCGGGTGTGCACTCTGATGAAATTTCAGTGCACTTATTAATCATTCAATCCATTATATCACTGGGATACCTTACTGAAGAATGTTGGATACCTCAGACTTGATTCTCAAAAACTAGTAACGCGATTCAAACAAATGCCGATATGAAAATATATGTTTAAACAACTTTCAAGTCAGTCGCAGATCACAAGCTCGAATATAAGATCGGTGTAGGAGTCAAGAACGGAGTAACTATTTTTGAGGATCTGGTCTGAGATTCACGCTGATCCTCCTGAAAACTTGAGAAAGTATTACAAAAATTGCCTATTTTCCGAGTTGGTGTGATTATGAACGTGTGAAGGAGGCTCCCAAATATTCTATGCACTGAAAATGACTGAATTTTGATCACATATTTCTTTTATTCAACGGTTATTTGCGTTTTAGGCACATTTTACGCAAATTGTCGCACGAGTAATAATTTTCTTTACAGGTATTTTGAAGATTGCCATTATATTGCAGAAAATATTACAGTGTTCATTGTGAAATATTGTACGCATTCATCAGCATGTATATAATTTCTGAATTCTCAACTGAAGTACTCGCGAGGAATCACCAAATAATTTATTTATGTAATTCTCAGTCCAAAAAAAAAAAATCTTCATTTGATGTTAATGGTGAACTTTTTTCCTTCGCCTAATATTTTTTATTATGCATTTTTATTATTCATTCATTCAAAATGTCAAATTTATCATTGGATGACATGAATTTTTGAAAATGAATCAACGGAAAACAATCTAATGATATCGACCAACTGAGTAAAGACTTGCGCAACAAATGTACCAAGGGTGGAAAATTTGGGCGTAGGAATTTACTATAATAAAATTCTAACGATTATATCGTTAATTTGATTGAATACTGAAACAGATCAATTAATAGATGCGAATTGTTTTAATGCAAAACGAACGCACAGATCTCTGAATAGTGCGAATTCAAACATTATCAAAATTGTGATTATTCTTTGGTTGAAAAATTGATATAAATTTTATTATAAATCTGGCTATAAATTCTTTGAATTATCTAAATATAACATTTATTAGTAAATTTGTGAACTGCTAAAAATGAAATTGACCAACAGTTTATAATATATAATTGGATCACATGTTCTTTAACTATTTAAGTAGAACTAACAGGTTGTTATTTAGTCTACACTTGGATCACATGTTTTTTAATTGTTTAAGTAGAACTAATAGGTTTGTTGTTATTACAGGGACACGAGAATTAAGTTGATCGAGCAGCGCCCCGGCCCGCACATCGAGCGCATTGCAACTTAAGAACAAGATATTCACCTACAACAAAATCATCCTCGCACTGTGCGGAAGGAGTCAAATTTACAGCAACCTTAGGATCAGGAATGCACCTACGGTAAAGATCACCCACGCGCCGTTTGGAAGAGTCAAATTTACAGCAACCTTAGGATCAGGAATGCACCTACGGTAAAAATCACCCACGCGCCGGTTGGAATGAGTCAAAATTACTGCGACCTTAGGATCAGGAATGCACCTACGATAAAAATCACCCACGCGCCGGTTGGAATGAGTCAAATTTACAGCAACCTTAGGATCAAAAATGCACCTACGATAAAAATCACCCACGCGCCGGTTGGAATGAGTCAAATTTACAGCAACCTTAGGATCAGGAATGCACCTACGGTAAAAATCACCCACGCGCCGGTTGGAATGAGTCAAAATTACTGCAACCTTAGGATCAGGAATGCACCTACGGTAAAGATCACCTACGCGCCGGTTGGAAGGAGTAAAAAATTATTTTAAAACAGCAACGGATTAGAATTGTGTTTGTGGTTGGCTTGTTTAAATTGTGCTTTTCGTCGAAGTGTCCCTTCATCCTGCTGAAAAAGTCGCTTTGTATACCCACCTTCATTGTTGTAGGGTTTGGACGTCAACGAAATGAAACTGATAAAGTAAACTAAAGATAAGTTTGAAGTTAAAACTGGCTGATTAGATAGTCTGTACGGGGCTGAATCACGAGCTTCGACTCCTAGCTCGATCTATCCTTAAAATTGACTCCTTTATTAAGATTAGTTTTATCAATTAAACGGCTTAAATTGGGACTTAAAATATCAATGAAATTTATATATTTTATTTAAATGGTTAAAATTTCTACATCGTCAGTATAAAAACAAGGACATATGAAAATTCGTGTCTGTATATTATTCTAAAATGTAAACTCAATCTCTGATATTAATGCATTACATTAAGTACGTAGAACTTTTGTTACCTCGCCGTCGCTCTGGCTGACTGTAACTTACGTTGATGAGCTAGAGAGAAAAGTCAAGGAGTTATCGAATTGACTAGTGACAAACCAATTAGACAAGGCATTCCATTATTGAACATTCCGGTCTGTTGACTTAGAGATATGGTCGATTAAAAAAAACTGCGTCCAAGTTAATTTCAGGTTGATTTGATGAACGACGATTCCCAAATTAATCAATGACACATTATTGACCGCACATTTTTTCAAGGCTAGTTTGGTGGCTTTCAAATTAAAGAACAAGGTTCTAATGATAAACGTAATACTTTGATATATGCGGCTTGATATATTATACACAATTATTATTTAATATTATAACTATATTAGTTTATTATTAATTTGTGGTTGGAGGATTGAGTTCTAGAACTTGATACACACTAAGTTTTCATTAAAATAACTGGTATGATGCATACCATTGAGAAAAGACAGTTTAATGCTTCAATATTGTGATGTACGCGTGTAGTGATAGCCAGACAGTTGTCAATTGAGCTTATTTTAAGGTGGTTATTGGTCTGCTGGTGAATTTCCATTGTCGTTCGTATTAGAAAGAACTTTTTTTCTACAAGCATTGTGCCTAGAACTCTCGACTTCTTATCATTAGGAAGTGCAAAGCTTTGAAAAGACATTGAGAACTTTAGGAGCTGTCAATCTGATACCTTCCCTAAGGTGTATATTGATAACTGAGTGTTGGAGGTGTCAGTCTGTTATCATGTCTGTAGGAGATGTCCATTTAATACGCTGATTGCAGGAAGAGTTCATCTGATGCCGCGAATGTTCAAAATGAATTCAAAATGTTAACTTTCAAATCAAAGTTGAATTTCACAAATCATTCCATCTAGAGGTAAAAGTCTTAAACTCAATATCTTATGACAGAATTTCAAACTGATTGGTAACTCAATTAAGGTTCAATTTTTCATGCTAAATGAAAGGCAATGCGTTAAAATTTAGAATTTGTGCTGCAAATCACACGCCTAACCAATTAACAGCTCTGGAAAAAGAGCTCAATGTTTTATTGTATTGCTCATTCTAATCAATATCGTCCAGTGGGGTAAAATGACGTCAATCGCTATAGACGCGCTGCCTCGAAGGTTTTCGTCACCATTTATACATACGAAGACACCCAGCATAAGACTAAGCCTAAGGAGTAGACCTTAACATTATCATATCAATAACAGTTCAGTACTGTTGAAGACACGGTCATTGAGAGCAATAAACGCCGAATCTGGGAGTTCGGATCACACAGGAGCCTTTCAAAAGTTCTAGTTCACCCAAGAAAGTTTGTTGTGGAAGGTGATACCGCCAGGTTTTATTTTTTTTGTAAGGGCCCTCGAGGGTAGTGGCCGCCATCTTTGAGGGATGGGTGTCAGAGTTGTAACTTTCACCGAAGGAAGTTGCGCAAATAGAGGTAAAATTTAGCTCAACAGAGTGTAAGATAATGTCATAAAATTTGATTACACTTAATTTTATTCATGTTAATAAGAAACTTAGAGTTTGTCTTAACATACAATTTGATGGTAGTTGTCACCTTCTACATCAAACTTCCTGACGTTGCCCAAGCCCGAAGATGTGTTGAGAAATAACTTAGGTTATCGACTGGTTGGTTGGTTGGTCGATGAGTCGTGAAAGTATAAAAGAATTCATGACAATTGTCCCGCTTGAGTGTTGGTTCTGTGTTATATTAGCTTGTACAATACATATCTGTTTGGTCATATCCTATGTATTTATGTGTAATAATTTTAATTTACGATATCATGTGTTGCCGACGTTTGGAAATTTGACCATATACCTTGTTGGAATAATACGAAATTTAATGTGTAAAACGAAAATATAATGATTTTTTCTTGGTATTTGCAAAACATGTGTAGCAAATAACTTTGGTGAAATCCATTTCGAGGATACCTACTTTCCAAACGTCAGCAACAAACTTAGAATTAAATGGTGGAGCGCTCGAGGAGAATCAATTCCTGGACGGTTGAATACCATTAATTATAAATTAAAACCAATCTATTTGGAACACGAATTCCCTTGCCAATTACGTGTAATCAACAATGCCTTAAAATAACTCTGTATTCTATTGAAACGTCCTGTTTCATTTTTCACTTTAAATTCATAGGTTTTTAAAATGAAATGCATAATTCTCCGGTTGGTCTAAATGATTGTGAAGACGTCTAACTAGAGCAGACAAACGACCTAAAATCAAACCTAATTATAAACTGTTCTTCAGTTGTTTCAAGAAATGCTTGAATATCTTAACAGACATTCGAACTTTCCGTCCCAGTTTGCGCTCAACCGTACCAAGTTGAATTCGAAGTTGTAATTCAACACGATGAATTGATTCTCCTGGGTAGCCGCTCTGTGTTTCTCCGTCCATTTTTGAATCTCTAAGTAGCAGCGCTCAACAGATCGGTTCCCTGTAGTGCATATCATAGATGAGATAAAACTTAGGTGAGTGTGTTGCTTACTGCAAACTAACGAATATCTACTACCTTAATTGAAGCTGTGGACCAAGAGGGCGAATCTATGTCCTCGGCACCTTTATGATGTCCACACACTTTATTCTTCGGACGAGACTCGCTTTAGGGCAAATTGCTGTCGCGACTCGAACTTTTGTTCAAATTGTTTGGATTAATAAAATATTGAGTTTTTTAGCCCCTTACAAGGCTTTTGTGGTCTGTTGCAGAAAGTGTATTCATAGGAGACGATATATCTAAATGTTTCAACTGACGACCCTACAATAGCCGTTAGGGAGCATAGCCATTAAGACTAGAGATAGTTTATATTGCATATGCTGTTAGACTTTGTGGCAATGTTCAACTTTCTATTCTCGGTATGTTATCATTATAATAATTATTATTATTATTATCATTAAGTGCCCTTCTTAGGATTGTCCAAACCTGTTTTGCCTTACACCCAAACGAAGCCTCTGCCCTGCCACTCGGTGGAGCAACCTGGCTGATGTGACAGTCCCTAGAGGTCGTCCATAATAATCCCAAGTTTTCTATAGAGGCTTAAATAGGATGCCGTCTCATGAGTTAGTAGCAGATCTGTGTACACGTTTCAGGGTAGATACCCCATGGATATATACGACATTGCATGTATGTCGTACGTAGGTGCTCGTTGGGTAGGCTAACTGATGCAATCGATCGAGCCGAATCGTAAACCTGAAGGAAATTGATCTTTGAAGGGAGTATATTATTATTTCTGAGTCGCAGTCTTTACTTGGTCAACGGCAGAGAGAAAATCATCTTAGTTTTTCCGGTTATTAATGGTTTACAACTACCGAAATTTCTTCAGATGAAATTTAATGGTTTCAGTTTTGAATTCAAATCACTAGCAAATATCTTTCTTTGGGCTCATTTTCAACTTATTTCATATCGCATGATCAACTATGATATTATTAAAAAAATGGAAATCATAATTAATCTTTGAAATAATTAATGAAAATTTCCACAGGGCCTCCTATGCAATCAATTTTTGAAAATACTGCAGATTTTCTCTGTAAACCCACTTTACGATGCATACGCCTTTTGAAAATGAGTCTCATTTTCAGCGATGTTGTTGAGGTGCAGTCTGATGCATGATGATTTCGTTAGAGTAGACATTGTATGAGTTGATCAGGTAGTTGCCTTTTGTTTAGTTCTGTTCTCATTTTAATATATTATTTTATTTCTTCTTTTGAGACTTATTTATAGCGATCAAAATTGTTGCAGGAAAACTTATCGTTAAATATCGACGTATTCTACTTACCAGCTGTTCCTCCGAGCATATTTTATCTAATCTACTTAATAAAGTTTAATTTGAATATGCCTTGACTTAACGCAACGTTTACTACTTAGTACGTAACTTGACCGTAACCAAAGTGACGTAGTCTGTCTGTTTGTTTTAGTTCTACTTTAGCAGGCAAAGCAGGGTTATATTAAAAGACCAACGTGTCTTCATGAACGCCTGCTGATTACATTTGTGTTTGTATCAATATAAAGCGTTACGCTGTCTTGCAAT